TACTTTCTCTTCTTTTAACCTCGCCTCTTCTTCTTCGCTGAACGAGTGTTGAGCGTGAGTGAGCACACTACAGCTGTCGCCCGCAACCTCCTGGTGCTGTACTTGCTCAAAGATCAGGGACAACGACGGACAACATCTCTCCTATATATTTTTTTCGTATCTGCCCTGTTGGTGCACTCCCAACTGTGTGACAGCTACGAGACGGGATAGGGTAAGTCTGCACCTTCATGTGTGCGACGACAACCTGGGGCCTCTCCTCCTGGACCCACTAATAGATTACCCTACAACTTGGGTTACGCTGGTGCTAGAGAAGAGACGAGTCGTTGTTTCGTAGTCGTAATTCTGGATTAGTCGCTCTCGTCCTCCGTCGCTGAGACTACCGCTCTCTCATACCTAATTTAATACATGAACTAAATGTTTGACTTGTTTTAAATATGTTAAACCGTCACCAATCCAAATTATAGGCTTTATTTTTGAAGAAAGAGATAAAAAAGATGGCTGAACCTGGTACGTCCAGGGTGTGACATTTCATACCTAACAAGGGAGATTGTCGCCGCGTTCATAACCAGATAGACTGGAGAGTAACCAGTAACCTACGTTTCGTTCGTTGTTGTTGTTCCGAGGAGAGTAACCTCTACTGGTAGTGGTCATATAGCGTCAACTTAGCGCTTTTCGTCTTAGTAGTGTGACAAGATGTTTGCCAACATACAAGATACTAGGCCTTCCAAGGTTATTGCATCTTTCTGGGATAGAAACAACATGATGGTAGAGCTGTGTGACGTTGGGGGCTTCAAACTGTGCACAAGTCATCAGTATAACAATTCGCACAGTAGGCCATTGGTTAGAAATCAACGGGCTCAGCAAGGACATTAGTTAAAGATCAACGGGCTCAACAAGGACTGAGACGTGATACGAGGCGAGTCAGATCCTTCGCAGATTTTGAATCCAGACAATTGCTTGATGAGCAACGTGCTCGACAAGGACATTGGTTGCGATCAACGTGCTCAACAAGCTCCGAGGCGTCATAGGAGGTGACGTCGACCGCTAGTAACCCGCCATCCAGACTTGCGGCTCCGAAGTACGTTGCACTTGGGCCGGTGTTGCCCAAAGTGAACAACAAGAACTCAGCCGCCAGACAGGAATGCAGCTCCGTAACCCTTTAACCCCAACCCCCACCAAGGGGCTCCCGTAGATAGACTGTAGGATGTTTTTTCAAGACTGCCTAGCACGGGCTGCTCTTAGTTGTTTCTAGACTCTCGTTTTTGAATTTGTCATTGTGCAACCCTTCACTGTTGGGCATGCGTTGCATGTGCCAACGAATCTTGCATACTCCAGGCGAGGAGCAGATTCTAGATACAGGCCTCCCTACCAAAACAACTTCTAGCAAAAAATATTTTTTATTAGCTAATTTAGCTAAACTAAGCGTCCTCGTTCTACACGGTGCAAGAGAGTAACTTGCATTGTTATCACTTCTTTTTATTCAGATGGCTTACAAGGTAATACAGGTTGCTCTAGGCGATTAGGTTAACAATAAGTTCGGTGAGATCTTCGATGCCGCGCTCGCATAGCGAGCTTCGTATACTCGGTTGAAACTTTCGTTGAGATAAACTCGCGTTTTTTCGTATGATTCCTCCTTCGCCGTCGGTCTACTTCATGCTTTCGTGGTACTCTTGGTCTGTGTTGATTTCGATTCTGTCTCGATGTCCTCCCATAGCGCGAGATCTAGGTGTGATACGACTACGAGAGTGAGGACGAGTGCGCTCGATGCTTTCGCTTTTGCTCTTACCTCTTAAATAACTAGTGGCTAGTCATGGCCTGGCTCGCGTCGGGCCATCAGTGCCTTTTTAACGTACGTTGATGCGGCTGGCTCTAGGTTCTAGCATGGTGAACCGGTACCCTTGGACTTGTTAGAACAGGCGAACTAGAGCTGGTGCGAGCACCTACCTCCCCTAGTCTCCTTTCGCCAATCGGAGCTGGGAGGTGGGACGCCAGGGGCTGAAGCATCCTGTGTTTAGCTAAATTAACAGCTAATTTACTTTCTCTTCTTTTAACCTCGCCTCTTCTTCTTCGCTGAACGAGTGTTGAGCGTGAGTGAGCACACTACAGCTGTCGCCCGCAACCTCCTGGT